CATCACTTTGTTAGACCCCTGTCATGACGTATCACTTTGTTAGACCCCTGTCATGACGTATCACTTTGTTAGACACCTGTAGACCCCTGTCATGACGCATCACTTTGTTAGACCCCTGTCATGACATATCACTTTGTTAGACCCCTGTAGACCCCTGTCATGACGCATCACTTTGTTAGACCCCTGTCATGACGTATCACTTTGTTAGACCCCTGTCATGACGTATCACTTTGTTAGACCCCTGTCATGACGCATCACTTTGTTAGACCCCTGTAGACCCCTGTCATGACGTATCACTTTGTTAGACCCCTGTAGACCCCTGTCATGACGCATCACTTTGTTAGACCCCTGTAGACCCCTGTCATGACGTATCACTTTGTTAGACCCCTGTCATGACGCATCACTTTGTTAGACCCCTGTCATGACGTATCACTTTGTTAGACCCCTGTAGACCCCTGTCATGACGCATCACTTTGTTAGACCCCTGTAGACCCCTGTCATGACGCATCACTTTGTTAGACCCCTGTAGACCCCTGTCATGACGTATCACTTTGTTAGACCCCTGTCATGACGTATCACTTTGTTAGACCCCTGTCATGACGTATCACTTTGTTAGACCCCTGTCATGACGTATCACTTTGTTAGACCCCTGTCATGACGTATCACTTTGTTAGACCCCTGTCATGACGTATCACTTTGTTAGACCCCTGTAGACACTTATTACTTTTGAATTCACGACGTGGCGTCAGACCTGCATCACGTTAGGGGTCACCGTGACATACGGAGTTGTCCTCGTCACGTGGCGGATAGGGTGACCTAATTAATCTATATGACGTGTGTCACGTGACTCAGATGACAGGTGTGTCGCTGGAGGTAAGTGGTGGTGGGGTGAGAGGGGTGATGACCTACTAAAGATGACCCACCTGAAAAGACCCTACATAGACCCATCTGACAAGACCCCTAAATTAACCCCTAAGACCCACACGGCTAGACCCCCCCCCCCCACACACACTTACATCGTAGCGGAGATCATTACAAAAACGTTTCATTGTTTTCTTCCCCCCCCCTTGTCATTAGCTTAATGACGCCTCATTAATATCACATTAAGATGATTTTTGATCGAAACATTTTTTTATAGAATATAGCGGGCATTTTTTCCCAGAGTTTGAAATTGGCGAAGTAAAAATAGAAATTGTTTCACATTGTTTGGGCGCCTCTCGCCGGGTCAATGGACGGACTGGTCAGCCCAAGCTGTTAGTGGTGTTGTCTGCTGTATGGGGTGGGCGTCACACCGGCGTCACGCCAGCGTCACGCCAGCGTCACGCCAGCGTCACGCCAGCGTCACACCGGCGTCACGCCAGCGTCACACGATGAAAACAACAACTTCACAAACCAAGCACGTCGCTAAAAATAAATCTCAACAAAAGTCAACTAGACATAAAAAAAAATAAACTACTATGAAAAAAAACCCGATGCAAGAGTATAGCTTCAATGTTTAGTCTAAGCAGACACAAATAGATACAAGTCTATTGCAACAATGTTTAGTCTATGCAGACACAAATAGATACAAGTCTATTGGTCTATACAGATACAAGTCTATTGCAACAATGTTTGGTCTAAGCAGACACAAATAGATACAAGTCTATTGCAACAATGTTTGGTCTAAGCAGACACAAATAGATACAAGTCTATTGCAACAATGTTTAGTCTAAGCAGACACAAATAGATACAAGTCTATTGCAACAATGTTTGGTCTAAGCAGACACAAATAGATACAAGTCTATTGCAACAATGTTTGGTCTAAGCAGACACAAATAGATACAAGTCTATTGCAACAATGTTTGGTCTAAGCAGACACAAATAGATACAAGTCTATTGCAACAATGTTTGGTCTAAGCAGACACAAATAGATACAAGTCTATTGCAACAATGTTTAGTCTAAGCAGACACAAATAGATACAAGTCTATTGCAACAATGTTTAGTCTAAGCAGACACAAATAGATACAAGTCTATTGCAACAATGTTTAGTCTAAGCAGACACAAATAGATACAAGTCTATTGCAACAATGTTTAGTCTAAGCAGACACAAATAGATACAAGTCTATTGCAACAATGTTTAGTCTAAGCAGACACAAATAGATACAAGTCTATTGCAACAATGTTTGGTCTAAGCAGACACAAATAGATACAAGTCTATTGCAACAATGTTTGGTCTAAGCAGACACAAATAGATACAAGTCTATTGCAACAATGTTTGGTCTAAGCAGACACAAATAGATACAAGTCTATTGCAACAATGTTTGGTCTAAGCAGACACAAATAGATACAAGTCTATTGCAACAATGTTTGGTCTAAGCAGACACAAATAGATACAAGTCTATTGCTACAATGTTTGGTCTAAGCAGACACAAATAGATACAAGTCTATTGCAACAATGTTTGGTCTAAGCAGACACAAATAGATACAAGTCTATTGCAACAATGTTTGGTCTAAGCAGACACAAATAGATACAAGTCTATTGCAACAATGTTTGGTCTAAGCAGACACAAATAGATACAAGTCTATTGCAACAATGTTTGGTCTAAGCAGACACAAATAGATACAAGTCTATTGCAACAATGTTTGGTCTAAGCAGACACAAATAGATACAAGTCTATTGCAACAATGTTTGGTCTAAGCAGACACAAATAGATACAAGTCTATTGCAACAATGTTTGGTCTAAGCAGACACAAATAGATACAAGTCTATTGCTACAATGTTTGGTCTATAGAGATACAAGTCTATTGCTACAATGATTGGTCTATAGAGATACAAGTCTATTGTTACAATGATTGGTCTATAGAGATACAAGTCTATTGCTACAATGATTGGTCTATAGAGATACAAGTCTATTGTTACAATGATTGGTCTATAGAGATACAAGTCTATTGCTACAATGATTGGTCTATAGAGATACAAGTCTATTGTTACAATGATTGGTCTATAGAGATACAAGTCTATTGCTACAATGATTGGTCTATAGAGATACAAGTCTATTGTTACAATGATTGGTCTATAGAGATACAAGTCTATTGTTACAATGATTGGTCTATAGAGATACAAGTCTATTGCTACAATGATTGGTCTATAGAGATACAAGTCTATTGTTACAATGATTGGTCTATAGAGATACAAGTCTATTGTTACAATGATTGGTCTATAGAGATACAAGTCTATTGTTACAATGATTGGTCTATAGAGATACAAGTCTATTGTTACAATGATTGGTCTATAGAGATACAATTCTATTGTTACAATGATTGGTCTATAGAGATACAAGTCTATTGTTACAATGATTGGTCTATAGAGATACAAGTCTATTGCTACAATGATTGGTCTATAGAGATACAAGTCTATTGCTACAATGATTGGTCTATAGAGATACAAGTCTATTGTTACAATGATTGGTCTATAGAGATACAAGTCTATTGCTACAATGATTGGTCTATAGAGATACAAGTCTATTGTTACAATGATTGGTCTATAGAGATACAAGTCTATTGTTACAATGATTGGTCTATAGAGATACAAGTCTATTGTTACAATGATTGGTCTATAGAGATACAAGTCTATTGTTACAATGATTGGTCTATAGAGATACAAGTCTATTGTTACAATGATTGGTCTATAGAGATACAAGTCTATTGTTACAATGATTGGTCTATAGAGATACAAGTCTATTGTTACAATGATTGGTCTATAGAGATACAATTCTATTGTTACAATGATTGGTCTATAGAGATACAAGTCTATTGTTACAATGATTGGTCTATAGAGATACAAGTCTATTGTTACAATGATTGGTCTATAGAGATACAAGTCTATTGCTACAATGATTGGTCTATAGAGATACAAGTCTATTGCTACAATGATTGGTCTATAGAGATACAAGTCTATTGTTACAATGATTGGTCTATAGAGATACAAGTCTATTGCTACAATGATTGGTCTATAGAGATACAAGTCTATTGTTACAATGATTGGTCTATAGAGATACAAGTCTATTGCTACAATGATTGGTCTATAGAGATACAAGTCTATTGTTACAATGATTGGTCTATAGAGATACAAGTCTATTGTTACAATGATTGGTCTATAGAGATACAAGTCTATTGTTACAATGATTGGTCTATAGAGATACAAGTCTATTGTTACAATGATTGGTCTATAGAGATACAAGTCTATTGTTACAATGATTGGTCTATAGAGATACAAGTCTATTGCTACAATGATTGGTCTATAGAGATACAAGTCTATTGCTACAATGATTGGTCTATAGAGATACAAGTCTATTGTTACAATGATTGGTCTATAGAGATACAAGTCTATTGTTACAATGATTGGTCTATAGAGATACAAGTCTATTGTTACAATGATTGGTCTATAGAGATACAAGTCTATTGCTACAATGATTGGTCTATAGAGATACAATTCTATTGTTACAATGATTGGTCTATAGAGATACAAGTCTATTGTTACAATGATTGGTCTATAGAGATACAAGTCTATTGTTACAATGATTGGTCTATAGAGATACAAGTCTATTGCTACAATGATTGGTCTATAGAGATACAAGTCTATTGCTACAATGATTGGTCTATAGAGATACAAGTCTATTGTTACAATGATTGGTCTATAGAGATACAAGTCTATTGCTACAATGATTGGTCTATAGAGATACAAGTCTATTGTTACAATCATTGGTCTATAGAGATACAAGTCTATTGCTACAATGATTGGTCTATAGAGATACAAGTCTATTGTTACAATGATTGGTCTATAGAGATACAAGTCTATTGTTACAATGATTGGTCTATAGAGATACAAGTCTATTGTTACAATGATTGGTCTATAGAGATACAAGTCTATTGCTACAATGATTGGTCTATAGAGATACAAGTCTATTGTTACAATGATTGGTCTATAGAGATACATTTCTACTGCAACAATGTTTGGTCTATGTTGGTTCACGTGGTGCAACTGGTTCACGTGGTGCAACTGGTTCACCTGGTGCAACTGGTTCAATTGGTGCAACTGGTTCACCTGGTGCAACTGGTTCAACTGGTGCAACTGGTTCACCTGGTGCAACTGGTTCACCTGGTGCAACTGGTTCAACTGGTGCAACTGGTTCGCCTGGTGCAACTGGTTCACGTGGTGCAACTGGTTCACCTGGTGCAACTGGTTCACCTGGTGCAACTGGTTCGCCTGGTGCAACTGGTTCACGTGGTGCAACTGGTTCACCTGTTGCAACTGGTTCACGTGGTGCAACTGGTTCACCTGGTGCAACTGGTTCAACTAGTGCAACTGGTTCACCTGGTGCAACTGGTGCAACTGGTTCACCTGGTGCAACTGGTTCACCTGGATCAACTGGTTCACGTGGCGCAACTGGTTCACCTGGTGCAACTGGTTCACGTGGTGCAACTGGTTCACCTGGTGCAATTGGTTCACGTGGTGCAACTGGTTCACCTGGTGCAACTGGTTCACCTGGTGCAACTGGTTCACGTGGTGCAACTGGTTCACGTGGTGCAACTGGTTCACCTGGTGCAACTGGTTCACGTGGTGCAACTGGTTCACCTGGTGCAACTGGTTCACGTGGTGCAACTGGTTCACCTGGTGCAACTGGTTCACTGGTGCACCATGTGCAGGCCGAGGGAAACAGAAAACCCAATTGATCGATGTGGCAGGCCACTGATTTGCTCAGGTGTCAGGCTATTTTTAGAAACACTACGTCACGGGCTTGAAATAGGAAAAAATGGGACATTAGGTCATTGAACCGATGGTAAACAGATGGGACATTAGGTAATTGAACCGATGGTAAACATATAGGGCATTAGGTCATTGAACCGATGGTAAACATATAGGGCATTAGGTCATTGAACCGATGGTAAACATATAGGGCATTAGGTCATTGAACCGATGGTAAACATATAGGGCATTAGGTAATTGAACCGATGGTAAACATATAGGGCATTAGGTCATTGAACCGATGGTAAACATATAGGGCATTAGGTCATTGAACCGATGGTAAACAAATGGGACATTAGGTCATGTACCGAGAGTAAAAAGACGTTAAACAATCCGTGCAACCACTAGCTACAGAGAGCAACTCAGTAAAGAGGTTTTACCATAGTATATGACAGGATCTTCCCTCCCTTGCCCACTCTCCATTATACTTCCCTCCATTATACTTCCCTCCATTATACTTCCCTCCCTTGCCCACTCTGCATTATACTTCCCTCCATTATACTTCCCTCCATTATACATCCCTCCATTATACTTCCCTACCTTGCCACTGTTTTTATTCTTTCGCATAACGTAAAGAAAATACTAAATACACGCACATTGATAAAACATATTAAACGAACCAATGTCATATATCATTTTCGTTTAGATTCCTAGAAAAAGTGGATACATTTTAATAACAGTAGGGACGAAAAAACTAATTAATTAAACTGTTTTATAATTTTGACAAGGGGGGTAATTTAAAAATAAATTCAAATCACGCTAATAAAAAATAAACCGGGAGTGATCTCCCCTAAACTTTCTCGAATATTCTTATATAAAATAACAGGGGATGGGAACTCGGGCTATAGACATGATTTTTAATCCATTTTAAATACTTAAAGTTTTAAAAATAGAATAAAATCTCGTAGACAAATTAATTGCACACCAAGTGAACGCGAAATAAAAAAGCGCATAATAGTGCGCAATATTATTATTACTTTAAAAATTTACATTAGTTTTTTGAGAAATCGGAAGTAGCGTAAATTACTACTTCCGGTCAACGGAAATTACTCAAAATTTAACAGAAGGTAGAGAATTAGATCTTTTACTTACATGTGAAATTTAATTTATCTATCTGAAATAGTACTCAAGTTATAGGCTTTTGAAAAATTCAAAGTAGAAAAAGTACCACTTCCGGTTGTCAGAAATCGCTCAAAAGTTGATACGGATCTACGATTTTGATAAAATACTTATATATGAAATTTCATCAACCTAGCTGTAACGGTACTCAAGTTATCGTGTTTACACACGGACACACACACACACAGACACACACACAGACACACAGACATACGGACAAGATTGCAAAATTATGTTTTTCCGTATCAGTGAGATGCAAAACGTCGAGATTTGCAAAAATCTCGATTTTTTTTTTTTGCACGATTACAAGACTTTCTCTATACTTCGTATATACGAGAAAGTAAAAATGCGAATGCAAAATCTCCTAGACGGAATAATTGTTGCAATAATATAATTAGCAAAATGTGAATGCAAATTCTTCAGTCGTGTAAGAGGACATTATTATTGCAATATTATAATTAGCATGGATTGATGAAAGGCTATCTTTTATTTATTTTATTCACTGAACGTACTGTTTATTAATGATAATTTCTAATCAACTACTCTTCAACATAATGCACGTGTCATCACGTTCATTAGGTGCGCAATAGGTTTTAGTCATGAAACTCTATTGTAATTACAAGCTTTTATTTAACTCACTTCCTCTGTCTGTCGTAAGTCGTCAGTCTAGACGGATACGCAGGAGTGAAAATTCGGACAGTTCTACTTGACCGACACGATTCACAGTTGGCACGTGGGTCAAGACATGAAGACAATGCAATCTGAAACTAAATTTGACTTAATTGGATGCCTAATTGATTTTTTATGAATTAATTAAAATTTGGACCGAATTAGTAGGCATGTCTAGCCAACCACACCACACGCGTCATCAATAGCTGCGCCATCACGACCACGTAATGGCTGCGTTCAAAAACCATTGCGCGCCTACTGAACGTGATATTCAGTAGGCGCGCAATGGTTTTTAGTCATGTAACTCTATTGTAGATAAAACATGTAAAGTACTGAAAAAAAAATTCATAAAAAACGTTTTAATAACAAGCTTTTATGTAATGATGCACTAAAAAGTAGAAAATAAATTATAGACTACTATTTAAATAACTATAAAGAAAAGCGTGGGTCACTTTAGTATCTATTGGATACCTTTACTAATGTTAAGGAAGACACCCACGCTTTTCTTTATAGTTATTTAAATAGTAGTCTATAATTTATTTTCTACTTTTTAGTGCATCATTACATAAAAGCTTGTTATTAAAACGTTTTTTATGAATTTTTTTTTTTAAATTTTTAATTCAAAGAACTGAAAAAAAAGCATGAATTTTTCTTTTGTGTTTATGTGTCGCGTTTGTATTTTCGTTTGTTTTTGCATAGTATTTGTGTTTCCTTTTGTCTTTGTGTTGCGTTTGTGTTGGTTAGCATTGTGTTTGTGTTTTCTTTTGTGTTTGTGTTTTCTTTTGTGTTTGTGTTTGTGTTGTGTTTAGTTTTGTTCTGTTCCCAAGTTGGTAGATTTAAAGAGGATTTACCGTGGTATGCAGCTAGTCTATAGTATAACGTTGCTGGTAGTGTGTTTGTCTTTCATTCCTTCCGTTATCGATATAGATTTAATAACCATAAAAGCAAACATACCACTGTTGTTTTTTTTGGCTTTTAAATAATATTTAGTTTTACTCATTTAACATCACAAATATAAACAGAAACATATACAAAGCAGGCAAATGTGATTTCACTAAGTTTAGTATTAGTAAGTCTTTAACTACACATAATATATTACATGACTGTACAAAATGTCTTAGAGCAAATATCAAGTAGGTACTTCTACACTAGCCAGTAAAGGTTGTACTGCAAATAGAATTGCATCCAATGTATTGTCAGTTGCATTTATCAGAGCTGTAGAAATAAATCCAAATAATCTATGTGGTTCTTAAAGTACCAGTAGTACCAGTTCTGATTCGTTCTTAGTTTAATTGAACTTGTTACGGATACTTAAAAATTGTAATTCTTAATGTCCCTTCATGCTTGTCTGGCTGCTACTTTGATCAGAGTCCATTTTGACTGGTTTATGCAGAGCGGAGGAGATGTCAACCCATTGCAAGGCCCTTTGTATCAAATCATCAGAAGTTGGTTGTTTGTCTAAATTCCAGTGTGTAAATTTATCAAATGAGTGTGTAGCTATCAATTTTCGCTCTTCATCTTCTGTTGTTCTTTTGTGATGTTCTTTTAATACTAAACCTGTAAATCCAAATGGCAAGTTTACTTCTACCCCATTTAAAGGTCGTCCCCTGAATGTGGCAGCAAGTTCTTTATTTCCATTTGATGATTCGTCACATATTGTTTTTTGGAAGAAATCAGATACCCTTGTTTTTCTATCAAAGTGTATTTCACATGGTATATAATGACAATTTCCTTTAGATGTGTCAGAAAGAGAGAGTGTTCTGTTTACATCTATCGTAGTAGCCATTTTTCCACTGTCATGTGATTTTTCTGGCATCGCAGTGACTTATTTTGTGAATAGATGGATAGGTTTTATTTATATAACGACTAAATTTTTTGTATAGTCGTCACTGTTTTTATTCTTTTGGATAACGTAAATAAAATATTAAATAAACGCACATGCTAAAATATATTAAACGGATCAATGTCAAATAATACTTTCGCTTAGATTACTAAAACATTGGATACATTTTAATAGCAGTAGGGTAAAAAAACTAATTAATTAAAATATTTTATAATTTTGTCAGGGGGAGGTAATTTAAAAAGAAATCCAACCCTCTCTAATAAAAAAAATTATGTGAATGCAGATTCTGCGGACGTGAAAGAGGACACTATTGTTAGAATGTTATAATTAACATGGATTGAGCCACCTAATACAAAGGCTAACGTGTAGGCCTATACATTCTTTTGCAAATCCCCCATCATTTGACTTTTTTTGTCCTATCTTGGATACTAGCGTATTTTCATTAGCATTTGTTTACTTATTGTTTTTCAACCGGGGGCCCCGCTCAGCCTTAATCCGCCCCTGCATGGGGTGACACCAAATGGGAAATGTAAAATTGTTGTAGGGTGTGGGTGTCGGACCCTCAGAGTGACACACCGGGTGACCCTCAAGGTAATGACGCACATATCCCAGTGGCGGAACTAGAAAAAAAGGGCCACCCTGCAAAAATTTTTTTAGGCCCCCACCCTACATAATATATATATATATATATATATATATATATATATATATATATATATATATATATATATATATATATATATTGCTGGCCGCTTCGAGTTTTGAAAAAAAAATGTTTTTTTTTTTTAAAAATTAAAACAAATTACAGCAACATGTCATGTGTGTGAGTGCATTAGTCTGTTTTGAAAATCAGTTTTTTTTTTTGTTTTTTTTTGCTGTAAGTACCGGTTAACCCCAAGTCGATCAAAAGAATATAAAACATGAAAGCTTTGTATATGTAAAGGTGTCTCGTGTTATGTTTATTTTTATGTTTTTTTGTGTTTATATTATTCATTTTAAATACATTCCCTTTTTATACAATGTCATTCTTTAGTAAATACTTTATAAAAAAAAAATAATTAAGAGAAGTAATTGCTTTTTAATTTGTTTAGTACAAATCTATTAAATTGAGCTTATGAGCACCCCTATTTGACTATTTAAAAAATGGAAATAAGTCATGGAAGTGGTTTGAACGTTTGCTTATCATTGATAAGTTTCATTGTAGGAGAAAGAGGACTCGGCTTTCACAGTGGTTTAAAAACAAAGGGAAAAAGAATATACAAGAGCGTGGGGTGGTATCTATAGAATAAAGATAATCCAACCGCAGCTACGGTAAACTTTTTACAAAACAACTATCAAGTAAAAATGCAAGAATATTATTATTTTTTAACTGTAAAAAAATGGATTATGGTCGGCT